GGGAAAGATAAACTTTTAAAACTTACTTTAAAAATCCCAACAAGTGAAACTAAAGTATAAAGATACATGATTCAGCCATAAACCATAAATCAAAGCACAGAAGGGATCACCATGAAAGTCACGAGGTGTTTTCAGGTTTCCTAAAAGGAAGAAATTGAGCTTAGGGTGAGAAGCAGCCAGGGAAGAGCTGGCTAAGCTCAAAGGCATGGACCAGGTAGTGATTTTGAGGTGTTTGCATTTAGTGGCTGACCTAACACTGTCATGTATTACAGTTAAATTTTTTTAAAAAATAAAACTGCAACCTATAAGATTCACCAAAGTGGTTATTATGTATTTTTTTCCACAAAAATGCATTCCTTTTCCCCCATTCACATTCAAACCTTTAAATCAAATGTAATACATGTGTATTTCCAGAATTAAAAGTTCTGTGATAGTTCAGCAGGGCCCTCTAAATGGAGTTGTCTTAGCGTTTTATTTAAATCTAACACAATGACTTTGATAATAATTTTGACCCCTCAAAATATGTATTCTTATGATAACCAACACACAAAAGAAAGTTTGTGCAGACTAGCTTCAATTTCATATACCTTTTTATTTGTTTCAGCCCCAAGAGAACATGAAATTTTAAAAAATACAAAAACTCCTCATAGAACTCTTAACAGGGAATACACATTTTTGTCATAATCGGGCACAACCATACATATGTCAAACTCATATTTATTCTTCAGAATATCTCTATTGACAAATTATTAATTTTATGAGTTTTAGTATATTAAACAATGAGTGCTTAACAAAAAAAGTTATCAAAAAAAGGAAGTATTTCATTTTTAATATTTATCAAGTGTTTATTTTTAATCAAATTTTCAACATTGCCACCTTTGGTGTACAAAGTCTAAAAGAGAACAACAGAAATAAATTCCTATATGAACTACACTGAAAATACCAATAGAAATCTACAAAGAAATCTTTACTTCAATTATCACACCTAAGGCAGTCTGACACATGACAACAGCTGTTCTACATATACATATCACTTACACTCACAGCACATGTGTTTTGCTTTCCTGGCCGTTTTGTAAGGGCATACTTGACATCACTGGTCTTGCTGTTTTGTCAGGAGGTTCTTATTATATTATACAAGGTATAGTTAATAGAAATAAAATATCAAAATACTGTATTACATTCTTAGTATGTATTGCATGTCTAAAATAAACATCTCTGTACTTGCTTACAAAACCTAAAGAGGACATCAGAAATAAATTCCTGTAAGAACTACAATGAAAATACCAACTGCATTCTAGAAAAAAAATCTTACTTCAATTATCACACCCAAATAATAAAAATATAAGATGTCAAGATAATATCTAATGTGTAATGAGCGCTTAGGCAGCTGAGGCAGGAGGATTTCCATGAGTTGAAGGCCAGCCTGGGCTACAAATCAAGACCCTGTCAGACAGACAGACAGACAGAGACAAAAGAGAGAACGTGCAGAATGAAGGAAGAGGGAAGCAAGAGGGGAAGGTGGGTGGGGAGAAGACAGAAAAAAGATTCCATCTTAACAACAATTAGTAGCAATTCCACTAGAGAGAGTGAAAGATACATTCCACAATAACTCACTCTCTTGTCTCTTCACACCAGCCACGAAAGTTTTCAAAGGTAAGTGCAGGTTTAACTGTTTTCTTTCTTTATAGTCTGCATTATATTACAATACTGTAATCATTTTTAGATAAATATTTTTGGATTTTGAAAGAAACCATCTGAATTTCCCTTATTTCTTATGGGGAAATTTACTTTGATAATCAAGTGTTTCAAATTATAAGCATGTTTCTGGAATTGATTATACTTGCAAACCAAGGTTTTACTTATATGCACTGAACATCACTGCGTGCCCTACGCTTTCTGATTAATAGCAAGTTTCCCAAAAGGGGATTGTCTTACTTATCTTCATCACTGAGACAAAACACCATCCCAGCTTAAGGGAAGATAGATTTCTTTCAGCTTGTGTTTTCAGTCCATTGTCCACTGGCTTTAAGGCAAGAAAAATGAGACAGAACGGATATCAGAACAAAGCTGCTCAAACCAAGGAGGCCAGGACACTGAAAGCAGAGGGCAGAGCTGGGGCAGGAAATGCACACTTCCAGGTTTTGCCCCCAGGACCTGACTCTTACACCAGGCTCTACACTGGAGCAGCCCGAGCAGCCAACCTGACTGTCCACCTTCCAAAAGCTCTGCCCCTGAGTCAACAAGGCTCTGGGAGGCTTTCTCAGTACGAGCCCTAACAGGGAAATAGCTGTAGGCAGGGTAGAGCACTGCCTGAGCGGTCTGCGTGCACAAGTCCATGTTCCACCTTTCACTCCCAGACAGAGAGGGAAAAAAAGATAGAGGCTGCCTGCTTCCGACCCTCTTTAACAAAACAATAAGAGACACTTTGTGTTCAGGACATTATCACACAAATGAGAGAAGTGACCTCACAGAAGCAAGGATGAAAGAAGCCGAGAATCTAGCTAGCTAATTCCCACCCCCACCCCCACCCCAGCACCCCTTTGGCTACCTAAAAGCAAAATAACACTGTTTGCCTATGTCCAACTTAGAAGACCCTAACATCCCCTTCTGCAGGATATAAATCAATCATTCAGTTAGTCTTATGCTTGACATAACTTTCTGGCAATATGTGTGACTGCCAAATAGTGTGACTATTTCATCTAAGTCACTTGTAAAACGTACAATTTTGTGTTCAAATCTTGACCAGTTAAGAGACACAGAAAGTAAAGGTTGAGCATCTCTGATCGCCATAATCCAAAATCCAAAATGTCTTGGCAACAAAATATGCTCAAAAAGGTTCACATTTTACAACATTTTGCAACATTTTGGATTTTGGAATTTTGGATTAGGGTTAATCAACTGGTAAATGTCATTTGAATATTTCAAAATCCAAAAGAAGTCTGGAATCTGAAACACATCTTGTCCCAAGCATTTTAAATGAGAGACAATCAACCTGCATCTACAGATGCATTTACTGCCAAAGTGTCCTTAGGTCTAGAAGCTGCTCTAAGATACCCAAACACTACTCTCATACTGTGGGAACTGCTGATGCTGGATGACACCTATGCGGAGGATTGTTACTGTCATGGTTTATGTCTGTGTCCCCCAGGCCTCATGAGTTTGCATTGTTCATTTGTGATGGTTCATTGTATAGTGCTTGGATTGATGGTGTTAGTGCTACACCTACTTAGGGGTGGAGTCAGGATGTGATGTAATGGCAGGAAGAAGGTGTGTCTTGCTCTTTGCTGGTTCCAGCTTGCTGTTTGCTGCTGCCATGAACTGCAGCCCTGCCATGCCCACCTGGCTTGGAGCCAACTAAGTGTGGACTGAAACCTCCAAAAACTGTAAGAAATACACCTTTCCTTTCCCAACTTGGGCTTCAGGTATTTTGTCTCAGTAACGAGTAAAAAGTAACTAAGACAGTTACCTTATCCTTTTTATTTTTTAACATGTTTCAAATATTCCACAATAAATAGTTTTCTTGGGCTGAAGCTACACTCAGTGGCAGAACACCTGCTCTGAATGCATTAGGTCCTGGGTTTGATCTCAAGTGCTACCCCAAAATCTTTATTTTTACATAATATATATAATAATTGAAACACCCTATTAGCTTAGGTTATAACTTTAAGAGGATAATGTAATTTAGCATTTAACAGTTTGACTTATGAATAAAAACCTCTTCACAGTACTTCAGGTGAACAGAAAAGTGGTAAATATAAGCTCTGGGAAAACAGCTTAGGAAAATGTTCATGGTATGTCACAGTGTTTACTAAGAAACAAATAAGATACATTATAGACATAGATGGAGAAACAAGCAAGATACATTGTAGACATAGACAGCAGAATGTAGAAAATGTATACACATTAGAAGACAAGCAAACATAGAAAGTGCAAACAAAATTTTCTCTCTTGGTCATGAGTTTAAAAGTGATTTTCCATTTGTTATTCATTGCTTACATGTTTTTTAAACCAAAGATCAATAAAATTTATAAACAGAAGAAGAAAACAGCTATTAACAAGTGGCATTTTAATTTGAAAAAGGGAGAACAGATAATCTGGCCATTATTCAAAAGAAATACACACCTGACCAAAACCCACTACATTAAACAATGAACAGCACAAAAGCTCCACACCTGGACACTTTTACTTTCATATGCCCTAAGATGACAACACTGGGTTAGAAAAAAACATTCTTGTACCTATGGCTGGGTGATGGTTTTATTTGTGTTCTAATTTTCACAGAGAGTACCTGTTATAGTCGATATCCTGAGATTTCTGTCCTCTGGTATTTGAAACTCCCTGAGATGTCCCTATCAATCTATATTTTTCAGATTTTTACAAGGGGAAAGACTTTCACACATAAGTACAAATCTATACACCTGCCCTGGACCCAAGATTTCAAATTTTGGTTCTCAGTGTTAATCCAAGGCAGATTTCAAAAATTATTTTCTGTGACATAATCTAGAAAATAACTACTTTTGGCTATATCAACTGTATTGCACCTTTATTAATTCTGTAAGATGTACAGAAAATGCTTTATTAATTCTGTAAGATGTATAATATGCCAAGAATTATTTTTCTGATAATGGAGAATTAATTATTTTCACAAGTGGATAATAAAATGTCTTAATAATCCAAAAAATATTTTAAAACCTCAAACTAAACCAGACGTGTTGATGTAAGGCTGAAGGCTAAGGTAGGAATAATTCAAGTTCAAGGCTGGCCCGGGCAGCTTCACTGTCTCAGAATCAAAAGGGCTGGGGAGACGGTTCAGGGGTGAGGCAAGGACCAGTGTGTGCGAGGCCCTGGTTCCAATCCCCAGGACCACAGAACGGCAGAAGCAACTACAACAACCCCAGCCCCACTGCCCCAAGACTTACATTAGGAGTATTGCTAAAAAGCAGTATCGTGATCAGTCGCATTTAAAAGATTCTGAGTGTCCTCCAAAATTCACTTACTTTAACTTCCACGGTCCTTCCTCCATGTTCAATGTGCCTCTCTACGTAATCGGAGGACAGCAAGTCACTGCAACGACAAAAATGACCATTAAAGAGGACCCTGAAGATGGAAAACACTTGAAAACAGGAATCAAGTCTAGACATATTTGCTCTAACAACCTCCCTCCCTGGGTCTCTCCCTTTCCTTCCCACTCCCTCTCTCTGTCTCTGTCTGTCTGTCTGTCTCTCTCCCTCCCTCCCCGGCACTGCTGCACTCAGTTTTAACAATTCTTTAACCTTGAAAATCAAAATCAAGGCTTTGCAGGAGGGTGTTTCTAAAAGCAGCAGGTGTGAGATGGCTACAACACTTATTACCACACTGCTCAACCAGGAGTGACTTTTGATCCTGTCATCAGCTCTAAGAAACTATGACCAGCATACCATGGTTCTTTTTTATGAAAAAACACAAAATTTTATAATATAACAATAAAAATAGTTAATGCATCCCATATTATAATCTTTTAAGTAGTTACTTTGCTTTTTTGGAGGTGGTAGTGGGGCAGGTGATTGAATCCAGTGCTTTGAAATACTGTATATTTCTACCCTTTTCCATCTTTTATTTTGAGACAGGATCTTCCTAAGCTACTAAATCGCCTAGGCTCAGCTCAAACTTGTATTCCTCCTGCTTAGCCTCCCAGAATGCGGCGACTATAGGTATGCACCACAGCGCCCAGTGAAGACATTTTATTCTTAACTTTTACTTTGTTTTTTATCTGAAGTTTAATTGGCTATCATAGTTCACTATTACCTTATGTGTTTTTATCTGACAAAATACTAGTTTCTATCATAATAAAAAAGGGGTCGGGCAGGGTTAGGAAACAACTCACACGGTAAAGTAAGTTGCCTGAGGGACACAAAGCAGTACAAAAACAAACAAAGCAGTGGGGGCAAGAGAGCTAAAGGAAACACAAAGGGTGGAGCCATCAGCATGTTAAAGTAACTCCCTTTTGAAATCTCTTGGAAACAACGAACTTCTTGCACCATTTTAAATGTTCATATAATCTTAAATATGCTTATATTTAATTATACACTCATGAAAATAATTTTAAGACACAACACAATTCCATAGTCTTTAGTTTTTTAAGCACTACAATATAAATAAAACTATCATTAATAAGTAAAAAATGCATGAAGCTATAAATTCCTACTGTACTTACAGACATTGAGCTGATTAAAAATTTTGGGGGTGAAATTACAATTTTTTTATAACAACTTTTTGATAATGCTCCATCACCAAGCCAAATCATGCCAACAATAATGAAAGTGAAGTAAATTTCTTAGGGCAGAACCCACCAGCGTAAGTCTCACACCTACAGTTTCCTGACATGCAAACAGAATGTGCAAAGCAGCATTACATTAATGCAAGCACCACCATGCTGCAGAGTAAACTCCTGCAGCACCACCAAGGAAACGGTAATTACAGTGTAAGCCCAGGCTCTGTCTGTCTTGAAACACACTTTTTTCTGCTGACTTACTGTGGCAATCTCTAGGATGCTCTAAACTCCAAGTAACAGAAGTCACAACTAAAAGTGGCTTAAACAACCAAGACATTTACCATCTTACTAAAAAGTCCAGGGTAAGTGAGTTTGCATTTGAGAGTATTCAGTTCTGTCACATGAATACATGTGAGGTTTCCAAAACTTAGATAGACACTTTTAAGACGTTTTTAAGTATAAATGAGCAGCTAGTAATAGGACGTTCTTATTTCACAAGAACACATTTAGAAAGGGACAGATGATCGAGAGAGAACTAATTCTCATGAGGTATGTGTAAGCTGGTAACAAATGTTCACAAAATACTAAATAAAGAGACATTAAACATGCAGGATATACTAGATTTTTGTTTTTTTCAATGTCAGGGATGGAGGCCAGGGCCTCACAGATGCTAGACAAGAGCTGCTCCATTGAGTTACATTCCCATCCCCAGGATATATTAAATATACATAAGCAATTAATATTCATGAGTTCTTAATTTGACTACCCACCCACTGGCACTATGCAGGGCTTCTCAACTTTGACCCCACTGAAATACTGGGCCAGATAATTCTTTGTCTTGGTAGACTATCTTATGTATCACAGCATGTTTACTAGCTTACCTGCATTCTACCCACCAGATGCAAATACATTTCCTACGTATGCCAGTCATGACAATTGAAAAACGCTTCCAGACATTGTTAAATTGTGGCAGGGTGGGTGTGTTCTGACCCCTAGTCCTGCCCTATACATTCTTGGTCCAAGAATCACCAGCAGAATCCACATGTGTTTGTCAAAGGAATTGGTAAGCCACAGCTCCTAACCCAGATACAGTAAGGTGGTGTCATTCGATTACGGCATCTACCATCTATGGGGCTTGGTCATACCTCAGCTCAAAGCTGTGTAACCACACATCTGGGGCCAGCATATGCAGCAGAGCAGAAACATATGTACAGCTCTGTATGCCCTTCTCCCCCACTTACACCCTGTCCAAAGTGTGCTACCCTAGTTGTCTCTTTCCTACCACTGCCTGCTATGTGATTACACTGTCTCAGCATATTGTGCAGTTTGATTATTTCAATCTGGTTGGGGAGGCTTCTGTTCCATCAGCTCTGGCAAAACTTACCTGGCAGCACACCTGGAAGTTGCCACTGCACCATAATAATTTTCCACATCAAGTGGAGTTTAGTCTATGCAGCGACTTCACACAATTAGTAAGACCAAGATGCACTCAACTTTCTGCTCTCCTATTAATCAGTATGGTGGTTGACTTGTTCTGTAACCAGCTTCTCCCATAGCTGATGCAATTCTAAGCATCTCATGAAAATTATAAATAGTGCAAGGTAAAAAAAAATCTTTGCACTTCCTTAAAAATGAGCAAACCCTTCATTAAAAAGCTCCTAGCATGCATCTTCTCAAACCTTTTCCCTAAACTTGAAAGGACATTGTCTCTGAACAATCACAATTCTCCTCCCTGAGCGCCCCTGAACATCATGACTACTCAGAGACATGGCTGAACAGTAGTAGAGAGAAGGAGAGAAATAGTGAGAATCTATCGTACAGTTAACCAACAACAGCTGTTCTCCTTCCTCCCACCTGCTCTTTCTCCTTCATATCCCTTCCTTCTCGACACCCTCTTCTCCTTCCAAAGCGATGTCATATATTTCACACATTTCCAAAGGTCTTTGATTAAACAGTGAAACTTAACAGTTCAGACTTGCCTCAGACAAAACTGGTAATTGCCCCAGCAACCATATCACACCTTGTAAACCAAGTATGGACTGGAAGGAGAAACGCCAGCTAGACTTTTGCAGGAGACTGTCCCTCAGCCTCAATACCAGTCTGAAAATACTCCCTCAGAAGTGGAAGAAAAACACTACTACACAGAGATGATGTTTATTAGCACAGCCACTCCAATCCCTTCCCTTAGGAATCTGAACTAGTAAATTTAGAGAACAATCATTTAGCTGTTGAAGGGAAGAGAAGCAGAAAAGCAGAAATAGTTAAAAGTGAGCGAGCTGCCGTGGAGGCGAAGACCAGAGTGAGATCTGGATCCACAGGCCCAGAACAGCCAGCACACCCACGAGACTGCAGATCAGTGGGATTCTGTTCCCATCCTCATTATCCACGGTGGGAATGAACTCAAAATCACCCAAGTAAACCACCGCTTTGAATGATGGCAGTTGTAATAACCAGTGTACACTGTTTTTTAAACAACTAGTAAATCTTCCAGGTTTTCAAATTTCAAGGGAACATTTTCCTTTGCATTATCACGAGTATGAGTCATTGCAGGAATGTAATTACAGCAAAGAAAAACTCCCTGCTCAGGAATTATGCAGCTATTTCAACCAAGACTCTATCTACAAGTACGGCTGGAAAAGGCTCCATGTAATTTAAACCAAAAAGAGCCCATGCAATTTGGTTGTGCGTGTTTGCAGTATTGTGCAAGTATTCTGAGTATTGTTATTTTAATTATTAGGCTAAAAGCCCTTCTATTTAAAATGTCACTACTCCTTCCAGTAAACCATAAAATCATTGCTCTATCATCTAGTTAGAAGCCAAGTAAATTTTCTTGAAGCCTTTGAAGAAATTATCAAAATTATTCTGTAGTCTTTCCCTTAGAACACTCTTTTTTTATTGTTAAGGTCTATTTAAATCATTTTAAATATAGGAAAACAGAAGATCTTGTTAGCATCGAAGAAATTTGATTTCCATGTAAACAGATAAGGTACAATTCTCACCAGGCTAAGAGCTTATTCATTACTGATGTATGTGAACTCTTCTTTTTGAACTTCAAAAGACAAAAGTAAACATCATTTTCAATGAAATTCTAAAGGCCACTCATTTTCTAAAGGATGTAAGGAAATGTGTTTAAAATAAGGGGTCCCCCACCTGCTCTAAAATTTCCGTGCCACAGTAAAGCCTTGAATAAGAAAAAAAAGTGCAAGTATTTCAGTCATAATAATGATTATCTTTTGTCTAGTGGGCAACTGTCATGAATCAATGTAGCTGGTACACTACAAAGGTTTTGGGAGTTAAAAACAAATATTTAATTGCTGTACCCAAGCTTGGTCAGGTTATTTAATCTTTAAAAACATAATGTGCCCATATCTAAAATGGAGATCATAAAATTTGTATAGCAATAAACAATAGACGTGATTTTCACTAAATTTCAACAGTGCTAACTTTAATCATCCTATTCCTTATTTACCATCCAGACCTCACTTCCATATTCACTGAGAAGATGGAACCAGAAGAGGGCGCCTCAGAGCGCCAATCTACCCAACTCCTGTCTCTCGACCTGTCTACCAAAATGTCAGGTGGGCACTCCAACTCAGCAGGCAATGCCTGACTCTCCCAGCCAAGGCCTTGCATTCGATTCCCATTCAAATATATCCCTGTGTAGAAGAGATCATCTATGTAAGTGTCGCTAAGAGTCATAAGGGTCCACCTCCTCAACTAGACACAAGAGTTTCCAAGAATATTTTTTCTTTTTTGTGATGCTGGGCCTCAACTGCAGAGCCTTCTCCATGCCAGGCAAGCATTCTACCACCAA